CTTATAGCCCTCCTTTTTCTCTAATTTTGGTCTGCAAACTTAGGTTGTTAACCATCCAGAAGACAAGCTTATTGTTATTATCAAACGATTTAGGCTATAAAGCTTAACCTCACTATCTCACTGCATTTCAAACATCTTAGGCATAATAAGGAACAGGTATTTTTCATCAAGTATTGATATTTGAACTTTTATTTTTGTCTTTTTGAAACAAGATCTCTCTGTGTAGTTCAGACTGGACTCACTGTAGCCCAGGCTGTCCTCAGAGTCACAGCGATTATCCTGCCTCAGCCTCGTGAGTGCTGAGATTATAGGCATGAGCTACCATGACCTATTCTGGGTTTGAATTTGTTCTCCTCCTGCCTCAGCCTCCAATAATATTTTTAAAGTAAGGCTTCTCTCCTGTATCTTTTTTTTTTTTTTTTGGTGGAACCGGAGATTGAACTCAGGCCCTTGTGCTTGCCAGGCAAACGCTTATTCTACTGAGCCATCTCTTTGGCCCTTCCCTCCTATACTCTTAAAAGCTATATTTTATTACATGGGATTAAAAAAAATAGCTTGCCTCCTGGGCTCTACCCCTAACCTGTTGAATCAAGGTTTCCAGGACAATGTTTGAGAGAACCTGTTCTGAACGTCATTCTCTAGGTGATTTTAGTCTTGCAAGAGCAACAATTTGCCTGTGGCCTGTCCCAAACATGTCAGGCCAGGGGAAGACCTACCCATGAACAAAGGCCTCCATTTCTCTTTTTCTTCCCAAATGGTTCTGTGCCTGGGCTGATCACTTTTCCTGGGGACCCCAAATCATGATCACTGGGGCGTCTCTTCCACCATCTCACTTGTCCTTTGCATCCTGGAAGGAGCAATTCACCCACAGTTCCTCACATACTGAGAACTCTCTCGAAGGGCCCTGACCTATAACCCAAGTTGACTGAGCTCTCCATACGCCTCAGCTTTGTGCTGAATGACTCTGTCCCCAGGCTCTTGCACACCCAGGCCTGATGCTGGGGACAAGGGGGACCCTCACTTTGGGCCCTGCAAAGGGCTTCTCCTCCCATAGACATATCAGTAGAACACTGCCAGTCGACTCCCAGGTTTTTCTAGTTAGGTTGGTTACAGGGCTAGGGGTGGGGATGCTGTCCCTCTAGGCACAGGGAGGCTGACTTTCCATGTGGAAATGCTGGCATCCAGGAGCTGAAGTTCTAGCCCCTCTTGTCATGCTTGGGCTTGTGGCTGATGCCGGGAAGGGAATAAGCTGTGGTCCATGTCAGAGCTTAGCTGAAGGACCCACCACACATGCTGTGGGGTATGGCTGGGTGAATGTTCTCCTGGTGGCTATGCAAGTTTGGGCCAGAGGAAGCATCTTGTTAAGGAAACTTGTTTGACTTTGGGTATGACCAGAGAGTGCCCCATGCAGCTTTCCAATAGTCAGTATACTTTGTAGAGTGTTCTCCGGGTCCTCCATGGACTCTAGCGATTGGCCATGACAACCAATCTCAGCAAAGGATTTAGGACGGTTACTGTGACAGCAAGGTATACAGGTGCTGCCGTTCCTCTGGAGAGCAGAAAGGTGCCCCTACCCCTACTTCATTTGTGGAAACGTCTCTGTGCTTCCATTTGTTTTGTTTTGTGACTGGGTTCTGCTATGCAGATCAGACTGGCCTTGAGCTCACTTTGCCCAGGCTGGTCAAAACAATCCTCCTGGGGCTGGGGAGATAGCTCGGTAGAATAAGTGCTTGCCTGGCAAGCGCAAGGGCCTGAGTTCAATCCCCAGTTCTGCAAAAAACAAAACAAAATAAAACAATCCTCCTGCCTCAGCCTTCAATGTGCTGGGATTACAGGGATGCACCACACACATCTGGCCATATTATTGTTCTCTCTCTCTCTCTCTCTCTCTTAGGAGAATGGAAGATGCCATCTTTCCCTACAAACATTTCTTCCCATGAAAACATAAAGCCCCGGTTGCTGCGTCATTCACACAAGAGCATTTCGCTCACCATCAAGAATGCTACAAAAAGGGGCTGGTGAGATGGCTCAGTGGTCTAAAGCACCTACTTAGAACAAGCTAAGCAAAAACGCAGCGACCGCGGTTCAATCCCCAGCACCACATGCCAGCCAGCCCCGCCCCCTGGTGGGCTGAGCTGGCCACACACACACACACACACACACACACTAAATAAATAAATAAATAAATAAATAAAAAAAAAAAAAAAAAAAAAAAAAAAAAAAAAAAAAAAAAAAAAAAAAAAAAAAAAGAAAAAGAAAAAGAAAAAGAAAAAAAAAAGCTACCAAACTTGTTTCAGTACTAATGGTAGAAAAGACAAAATAGGATGAAATTAAGTTGCCTTTCCTGGTTCACCTTCTCCTGAGTTCAAAGATGCGCTCATGGCTGTGCTGGCAGGTCCTCTCCTTCCGTTAGCCTCCTTTTGATATGGAGTAAAAATGATCTCCCGACCTGACCTGGACGAGTTCATGTCCTCTAAAACCGAACAATGAATTTTTTTTTCATATATTTATTTGCTTCCAAAGAATGAATTTTAGGAACAAACGGAGGTTATGAGCAGAACATATTTACTGAGGGAAAGAAAGCTCCTGTCCACAAGAGGGGCAGGAGGGGGGCCTGAGCCAGTTGTCCCAGAGAAGCTGTCTCTTCCAGGGACTTTTATAGAGGAAAACCAGGCGATGAGGCGGGTCTAAGGTAGTGGAGCACATGGAACTCGCTTAGGTGGGCAGGAGGTGGGACAAAACTAGGGTCAACCAATGAGATCACAAGCACCATTGCTCAGGTAAAATTGATTAAGTCCAAGACCAAATGGGGAAGCGAGTCACATAGCAAGCGGGCATGAATGTAGAACAGCACTTTATCAGGTAGCCATCCAGTAGTAGTCGGATTAATGATTCTTTTGGCCCTCTCAGGATGATGATCAATCTCGGATGCTAGTCTTTAGGGAGGTTGGCATTTGTTTGATTTTTGGTCTTTAGGTCTAGCTCATGGTGGGAGCACCCATCCCTCCCACAGTTGCAAGATATCTTGTCTTCTGCATTATCTCCTTCGAGGGTCTGGCTCTGTCTGACTGCCTATAATATTTCTATCTAACTTGGTTGCCTGCAACACTTTCAAGTCAGAGGGGACCCACCCCTCTTTTTGTGTTGTTATTATTTTGAGCGAGGGTTTCACTATGTGGTTCAGGCTGGCCTCGAACTCACAGTTATCCTCTTGCCTCAGCCTCCTGAAGGCTGGGGTTACAGACCTGGGGCACCACGCCCCCGGTGAGAGAGGACTTTAGATGCCTAAAGGCCAAAAGGTTCACTCTTTGTCCACCTTGCCCTCCTTTAACGCTTCTGTGTCACCCCCACCTGTAAGCAATCTTTTTTTTTCCCTGAGAGGACATCAAGGAGCCTGGGACTAAGGCTAGTAGGGATTGCTAATAGCAAACAGGCGGCTTCCTCTCTGAGGAAGGAAAGTGAAGAAGAAGGAGAAAAGGGGTGACAGGGAATGGAAGATTGTCTATCGTCAGATATCTTGGCTTTTATTCTTTTTTTTTTTTTTTTGCTGCTCGAATGCCTTCAGGGCACTTTTGGCTGGCTGGAGTGTGGTGGGGATCGAACTACAGCAACCTGAGGCTGAGAGCCTTGAGAAAGCAGCCACTTAAAAGAACTGAGCTAGCGCCTTGCCCCCTTGGCTTTTATTCTTCAGGAAGATAAAACATAATAGACGGCAAATAAGGACTGGGAAAAGTTTTAAAAACACAGGCGGAACTGGGAAGACGCCAGACAATCCCACTCCCACTCAATCCCGCGAGCACTTCGCGCGGCCTGAGCGTCTTTAGCCAATCACCTAGGTACCTCGCGTTCCCAGGTTACCTTCAGCACGCAGCGGTGGGCGGAGTCAGGGGGAGGCGGGGGTGGAGAGACGGATTGGCCGTCTCATTGGCCAATCGCGAAGCTCGCTGTAGGACAGGGGCGGGGCTGTCTCCTTGGCAACGATCCTAACCCTGCCAGTGTTGGGGGAGGTGTAGTTAGGAGGAACAGAACGGGGCGGGGGACAAGGGAGTGGAGGAACATGCCCGTGTGGGAAACTGGAGGTCAACGAAGGGGTCCTGGGCTTGAGAGCCTGTATGAAGCCAAAAGGGAGTCCGTCTAGGTTCCCGAGGCGCGACTGGGGCTGACCTAGAAGGAAGGGGCGCTAGACACCGCCCCCGCTGGCGTCGGGAAGCGTCGCTCCTTCTCGCTGACCTTGGTCTCGCTTGTCGCCTCGCCCTTTCCATACGCACTGACGGACAAAGGGCCCAGGAGATCTACGGCCAGGTCCCTGGATAAAGGGAGACCCAGGACGTGGGCACACAAACTGCCGTAGCCCCTGTCGCTGTTTCCAGGGCGCCGGGTCTCCCCTTTTCCCAACGCTGGGGCCATCCAGCCCAGGGTTAATGCCAACGAGTTTTCACCTCCATCTGCTCCTAGAGAGGCCGCGGCGCTAGCCATCGGGGGGAACTGGCCGGGGACGGACACTTCCTGTGCTGGGGGGAGGGGGTCGAGAGCCGCAGATAGTCGGGGGGCTGGGGCCACACGGCGGGGTCGTGGGTGGGGAGCGGCGGCTGGAGGTTGCGGGGCGAGTAGAGAAGCCCCTCATTTCCGAGGTTCGGACGCGTGGGGTCGGTGAGGGCCGTAGGACAAGTGGAGACCTTGGGAGGGGGCGGGGCCGCGGGTAGGGGAGGGGCCGGCGGGCCGGAGAGGCCCAGGGTCAAGACGTCCGGCCTCGGGGCCGGGGCTGGGCAGCCGGATCCCCTGGGCGGCGCTGAGCGGGCGAGTGGCGAGGGCCTGGGGCTCAGGGCATTCAGGTCGGGTCGGAGGATCGTCCGCCATCGCCGCCACCGCTGCGCTGGGAGCTGGAGGGGATGGAGCGGGAAGCGTCGCCGTGGGGCCTCGAGTCCCGGGATGTGCAAAGTCCTGATGAAATAGGGAGCCCCGAAGAGTCCCTCAAAGGTGAGGGAGGGATTTCTCCCCCTCCAAGTGTACCTGGGAGCGGGAGAAGGGGCTGTGTTCTGCAAGAGGGAAAGGGGGCTTTGGCGACTTGGGACTTGGGAATGGGGTGGGGACGGGGTCTCCTGGGTCGGCCAGGAAGGGTAGAGAATTTCAGCACCTGCTTAAGGGCCAGCGACCCGCCTGGGGCGTGGGGAGAGGTTTGTGGCAACTAATGGACCAAATGACCTTCCAGGTCCCCACACAATCTGGATTTTCTGTAATTCTCTGATCCTGCAGGCAACACAAGTGAGAATGAGGAAGAGGAAATTTCTCAGCAAGAAGCCAATGGGGACTATGAAGTTGAAGAGATACCTTTTGGGCTTGACCCCCAAAGCCCTGGGTTTGAACCACAAAGCCCAGAATTTGAATCCCAAAGCCCCAGGTTTGAGCCTGAAAGCCCAGGGTTTGAGTCCCGAAGCCCTGGATTTGTGCCCCCAAGCCCTGAATTTGCGCCCAGAAGCCCTGAGTCAGATCCGCAGAGCCCTGACTTTGAACCCCAGAGCCCTAGGTATGAACCTCAAAGCCCTGGCTATGACCCCAAGAGCCCTGGCTATGACCCCAAGAGTCCTGGGTATGTATCCCGGAGCCCTGAATTTGAGTCTCAGAGCTCTAGGTATGAATCCCAGAACCTTGGGTATGAACCCCAAAACTCTGGAATTGAACCTCAGAATCCTGAGTTCAAAACTCAAAACCCCGAATTTGAGTCTCAAAGTTCCAAATTACAAGAAGGTGCAGACATGCTTTTGAACCCCGAGGAAAAGAATCCCTTGGGCATCCCTCTAGGAGTTCACCCCCTGGACTCCTTCACTCAGGGATTTGGGGAACAGCCCACCGGGGCCCTACCCCTAGGGCCACCTTTTGAGATGCCTACAGGGGCCCTGTTGTCGCCACCTCAGTTTGAGATGCTCCAGAATCCCCTGAGTTTGACAGGGACCCTTCGGGGTCCAGGCCGGCGGGGTGGCCGGGCCAGGGGTGGGCAGGGGCCCCGGCCTAATATCTGTGGCATCTGCGGGAAGAGCTTTGGGCGGGGCTCCACCCTGATCCAGCACCAGCGCATCCACACGGGTGAGAAGCCCTATAAATGTGAGGTTTGTAGCAAGGCCTTCTCCCAGAGCTCTGACCTCATCAAACACCAGCGTACCCACACTGGCGAGCGGCCCTACAAGTGTCCCCGGTGTGGCAAGGCCTTCGCTGACAGCTCTTACCTGCTTCGCCACCAGCGCACCCACTCTGGCCAGAAGCCCTACAAGTGCCCACACTGTGGCAAGGCCTTCGGCGACAGCTCCTACCTCTTGCGGCACCAACGCACCCACAGCCATGAGCGGCCCTACAGCTGCCCTGAGTGCGGCAAGTGCTATAGCCAGAACTCGTCCTTGCGCAGCCACCAGAGGGTGCACACTGGGCAAAGGCCCTTCAGCTGTGGCATCTGCGGCAAGAGCTTCTCCCAGCGGTCAGCACTTATCCCCCATGCCCGCAGCCATGCCCGGGAGAAGCCCTTCAAGTGCCCGGAGTGCGGCAAGCGCTTTGGCCAGAGCTCTGTGCTGGCCATCCACGCTCGCACCCACCTGCCAGGCCGCACCTACAGCTGTCCCGACTGTGGCAAGACCTTTAATCGCTCCTCCACGCTGATTCAGCACCAGCGCTCACACACGGGCGAGCGGCCCTATCGGTGCGCCGTGTGTGGCAAGGGCTTCTGCCGCTCCTCCACGCTGTTGCAGCACCACCGCGTCCACAGTGGGGAGAGGCCCTACAAGTGCGATGACTGCGGCAAGGCCTTCTCCCAGAGTTCCGACCTCATCCGCCACCAGCGGACCCATGCTGCCGGCCGCCGCTGACCAGCCTACCAGGGGTGGAGAGGTGGTGGCCAGAGAAGGGGACAGGGGGCTCGAGAAACCTTTAGAGAGAATAGTGAGGAGCTGATGGGGAATGGAGGAGATGAGCATTCTAGAAGAAGGGCCAGAGTGCAGGAAGTTACATGCCCTGGAGACTTGGGAAATGGGCTATGAAGAGGGGTTGGAGGGCGGCCAAACAGGCAGCAGGGGATCTGGGAGAGACCCAGAGAGGTCAGCAGGGAGCTGGCCGGCAGCAGCATGCTCCTTGGTGGATGCCTGGCTTGGCAAAGTGCTAGATGGGGTGGGGGGTGGGAGAGGGAGGGTCAGTTAGAGGGGGTAGCTTAGATTGGTAGGTGCTGAGGCCCTCCTTGAGTCAGGACGGGGGGAGGGGTAGGTAGAGTGGGAAGTGGAGCCCTGGGACAGGGTCTGCGCCTCAGTGCAAACCCCAGCCTGCCTTGTCTATCTCAGGCTTTGGAGCCCCTGCATTTGAGTTCAATAAAAACCTTTATGTGGTAAAAGATACTTGTCCTTAAAATGTGTTTGTGGACAGTGTCCTTGGCAGTGGGAGGTGCCCATCATAGCCAGGGCCCAACTAGGAAGTCCCTGCAGGGATTGAACCCAGGGCTTTTTTTTTTTTTAAATAATGTTTTTTGGTTTTTTTTGTTTTGGTTTTTTTTTGAGGCAGGGTCTCACTATGTAGTATAGGGTAAATTTGCTTGTGTAGCCCGAGCTGCCCTGGAACTCATGGCAATCCTCCTGCCTGCCTCCATCTCCCAAGTGCTGGAATTACAGGTGTGTTCCGTCATTTCCAGCCAGGAAGTACTTTTATGTATTTATTTATTTTAAATTTTTTTTTTATTTTAACAGTGTGTGTGTGTGGCCAGCTCAGCCCACCAGGGGGCACGGCTGGCTGGCATGTGGTGCTGGGGGATTGAACCGCGGTCCCTGTGCTTTGCCAAGCTTGTTCCAAGTAGGTGCTTTAGACCACTGAGCCATCTCTCCAGCCCTATGTATTTATTTATTGAATCTCTTCACCTGAACTTGAGCTGAAGCAGTTAGCCCCTACCTGCCCAAGTTCATGTCCCATGCTTGTCACACTGCACAGACTCTCGGGGGTCCAGCATGGGAGGTTATGAGAAAGCGCCCAGATTTGTGGGGCTCCTACTTCCTAATCACAGAGGATCTCCCCTTGGGCCAGAAAAAGGCCTTGATTCTGATCTCCTTTGCTGCCGGCATCCCAATCCGGAGCGGCCAGCTAGCTTGTTTTTTCACGTTCTGAGGCCAGAGCTGGTATCCACAGCCCCAACCCCACCCGTAGCAAGGGGTAGATTTCTTACCCTTAGACCTCCCCCATTCTAGGCCTGATTTGCCACAGCTCTGCTTCCTTTTGAGGATCCCTGTGTGGACTGGTGGGGACACTGTGTCCCTGCCCCACTACTATCCCATCTGAGCCCTAGCCTCCTGACTCTTGGCCCCTGAAGAACAGAGGGGTCTGAGGGTATGTGGAGCAGAGCACATAGCCTGTCTTAGAGAATTATTCATTGCAGGAACTTTTTTTATTTTTTGAGACAGGGTCTCACTATGCGGGTCGGGTTGGCCTCCAACTGACTGTATATAGCTCAGGCTGGCCTCAAAATCACAATGATACTCCTGCCTCAGTTTTCCAAGTGCTGAGATTACAGGCATGCACCACCACAGCCAGCCAGGGCATATTTTGAGCTAATGTTTATTCAGGGGGTGGTGGCCCCATCAGACTATTTCACAGGTTAGGAAAACGGACAGCGTGGTGGCACAACGCTTGAAATCCCAGCCACTTGGGAAGCCGAGGCAGGAGGATTACAAGTTTGGGGCCAGCCTGGGCAATTTAGATTGTTTCAAAACTTAAAAACTTAAGGGTAGGAATATAGCTCAAGGGTAGAAAAAATGCCCCAGCAAATGTGAGGCCCCAGGTTCAATCTGAGTGGGAACCCCCCCCCCAACTATTGTGTACTATTTTCCCACTGGGACAAAAGGCCCTGAGATGAGGGACTTGTCTTTTTCTTCATTTTACCTGCAGAGGCCAAAATAGGGCCTGACCCAAAGCATTCAAAAATAACCAAAGGAACAGGACCCAACTCACGTTCCACGACACCTAAAGAAGTTCACTTTGTGTGCTCTTAGGAGTTATGTGACATCGTAGAGAGGAAGTGGTCACACTGCTTTTTGCATGGTGTGCTTGTCCTGGTCCAGCTTCTTGGGGCTGGACCAGGACAATGGCAGGCGACCCTGGAGAGGCCGCAGGCTTTGAAGAACACTTGCTCGTCACACATGTCAGGCTTTAAATGTTTATGTACTTCTTCTACCCAGGAGGGGGCTGTCCAGGGTCACTGCATGGGGCGCCACTTCCTCCCTTGTAAGGCAGCAGCGCTCTCTTTCCCAGTGCTAGACCAGGAACTGGCCTTAGTGACTAAGTATTCCCTGGGGAGGGTCCTACCGATGGCCACACGAGGGCAGCACTGACCAGGCGCTCCGCTTTCCTTCTAAAGAGGCCTGCGGGCCATGTCCCTTCTATCTTTGCTTTAAATAAAAGATAAGAGGGTCCATACCTTTTCTTGTTTTGTTTTTTGTTTTTGCAGAACCACGGATTGAACTCAGGTCCTTGTGCTTGCCAGGCAAGCACTTATTCTACTGAGCTAT